TTGAATAGCTTCATCTCATCGTAACCTATAAATATTTTATTTATGAAAACTCTCGGAATCGGAGCGTTTTTAATCTGTAGTTCCGCAAACTTTGTCTATTTAATTATGTACTAAAATCTCGTAAATACCCATATTGCTTTCCGCTTGGATCGATAGATAATTTTATCACAAACTGGAGAAAAAAAGTGGCCTACAAAAATATTGATCACGTCAAAGATCTTAATATTTTTGAAGGCCATCTTTTTCTCGATTTTGTGCTACAATTATTTTAAGATTCATCTGGAAAGCAAATGAGCTTTTACGAGTTTTTGGTTCCTAATTAAATAGATCTGTGACAAATTGTAATATTTCTGAATAAAGTGCTTTTAAAAAAAAAAAAAAAAAAATTAAATAGACAAAGTTTACTGGTAGTCAGATTTGAAAACGCCTAAATACCCAGAATTTTCGTAAATACAATAGTTGAAGTTTACGAAGAGAAGTAGCTATTTACGAAGTTTCAGGCGGACGTTAATAATTTGACAACAAGGGGTCTGTACCTCGGACTATATATTTAATAATAATTCTAGTTTACAGCCTCCCCTCTCCTCAAATTCCCACTTTATATAGTTCTTTAATTCAATTATTTAAATTCAAGTATTACCCCCATACTAGACTGAAACGACTACAAACCGCCCGACGTTTTCGACTACTGCAGCACTTACTAGACAAACGCTCTAAGCTTTCAATCAGTTACAAACGACTCATATATATGACAATAATAAGAGCTATTTAGACTTACGGAATTGAACTTTGGGGCTCCACTAAACCATCGAATTCCTCTCGTATCCAATCCTTACAATCCAAAATCCTTCGTAAAATCCTCAAAGCTTCTTACTTTGTCACAAATGAAATCATCCATAAATACCTTAATGTTCCATATGTTTCCGATTTGGCCCAATCCAGATACCTTTCCTTCCATAACAAACTGCAGAACCATCCGAATTCTCTCGTTTCAAACCTTGCTTCCTCCTCGATCCCTGATAATCCTCCGAGGCGTCAGAAAAGAATATGGCTTCGGGACCTTCTAATATAGAACTTTAATTTGAGTTCTACCAATGGGTAGTTTCTCTTCATGCTGTACATGTCATGTTCATTCTATTCGTCTTATGTCACCTTGATGCTGGTCGTATTACGCTATCTATTAACGGATCGCATATTTTTCTAATTGCACTATTCTGGAATTGCTGAAGCGCATATTTTGCTATAAACAGAGACGCTATAGAACATTGAAGAAACTTTCCTTAATGAGATGTAATGTTACAGACGATTGGAACAACTTGTTTGTATTTTTGTAGTGCGGTAATTTGTATGATAATTTGAACGTTCTGACATTAACCAGCTTTTTCTGAAATGTCTTATAATATTGTATCTTTGTCGAATTAATTAAATGTCTTCTTGGCAATTTTCCCAGAAAGGAGTATCTTTTTTTGTGAATTACGAACTGTTTAATTCGTTCCTTCTTTTTCATTTGAGACAACTTCTTTTGCCAAATTGTCGTTAATTTATTTAAATGAATTTAAACTTAAAGAGTAAACTTTGATTTCTTGAACTACAATAGGCATAGTTATTGTCTTGTTGTTTTCAAGAAAACTTTATATGAAGATAAATTCAATATTAACTCTGGTGCCAGGGACCGAAAATGAACCTCATCGCAGGCGAGAGCTTTTAATGTGAATTACGAAAGTGTATGTTAATTTAAATAAAATGGATCTGGTCTGCCATTCCATAACCGCTTATTCCAAAAATGGAGGCCGATTTAAAGATTATTACATCAGTAATCGAAACGGAAAATATATTGCGAAAAATGTTATTCCAGAAATACAATTGACCTACATTAAAAAAAGTTAATAATTAGTGGGCAAAGATTTTGATGCTTTAACTCATTTCAAAGCTCCAAAGCCACTTATTAGTTTTAAGCCACCAGTTTTTGAGAAGTTCGGTAAAAATTCGTTTACAGTGTTTTCTTACCATTAGTCCGTGGTACAGACCCCTTTTTATTGAATTATTGTTATCAGCCTAAAACTTCGTAAATAGTTTCATCTCATCGTAACCTACAACTATTTTATTTACTAAAACTCTTAGAATTGGGGCGTTTTCAATCTGGAGGAGGGTAAACTTTGTCTATTTAATTAGGTACTAAAAATTCGTAAATACGCATTTGCTTTCTACTTGGATCGTAAGATAATAAGATAATTCAATATTTTTGAAGGCCACCTTTTTTCTCGACTTTGTGATCAAATTATCTTACGATCCAAGTAGAAAGCAAATGTGTATTTACGAGTTTTCTGTACCTAATTAAATAGACAAAGTTTGCCCCCTTCCAGATTGAAAACGCCCCAATTCCATGAGTTTTTGTAAATAAAATAGTTGTAGGTTACGATGAGATGAAGCTATTTACGAAGTTTCAGGTGGATGTTAATAACTCGATAAAGAGTTATAGGTAAAAAACAAAGAAAGCTCTAAAGAAATATAGCATTTTTTGGTAGTAAAAAGTTTCCCATTGGTTGCTCGCGTTATCAGTTTTGTTTTTTTACATGTTTAAACTCATCTATACAAATTTAAAAAAAATAATAATAACTTTTCGGGATGGGTAAGTGGTCACCTGATCCATTACAAGGATGAAAGGAAATCGTCAGGAATTTCAGTCGATATTTTTATTGGGTTAGCCAATGTTTCGATCCAAACATGTGGGTCATCTTCAAGATCTAAAAAATATTTTTCAAATAAAATTTTCTATCATCCATAAAAACTTTTCTTACATTTTTCGTAATGTATTTGAAGAATAAGTTGTAAGTGTCGAATCGATAACTGTCAGAAAATATTTAACTACAGCAGTTGAGAAGGATTCTTGACAAATAGGGACGGATTTGTTTTGTGATTGCCTGACCTGGGTCTGACCTAAAAAATCTATTTGGGTGAGTTGACAGGTTCAAAGGCTTAGTCGACTACCTGTTTTTTCTGTTAAACAAACGACTGAGATCAATATCTATAACGACTCAGACGGTATCTTCAAATCTATTAATATTCATTTAATTTACAGTTACTATATATGACATTTATTTAGTAGGCTGTGTATTTTCTAATTTTGGATTGTGCTTGGAGCTTACTTTTCAACAACTAGTTTGTTGGTTTGTAAGGATTTGGCGCCCTTATAATACTCCAAATAAGGTAAGTACGGATTATACGTGTTGTCAAACTATTCTGTCATGGGTGGGAAAATATAAATTTTAACCAACTATTAAAGTATAAAAACAAAGTACAATTGGGTTGTTTATTATTAAAAGGAAACCTTATCAGCATCGACATTTTTTACAGTAAAATTTGCAGTAACACGAAAAACGTATATTTTTAATTGCCATTGTAATGTCAGATTTAATATTTATAAAAAAATAAATTAAGAAATCATTTATTTGCAGCACATAGTTCCGGGTGAAGAGAGGGAGGAGTCATAAAAATTGTAATGAAATGAAATTAATTTAAATTAAAGTATTTTTTATTATTCTGGGACTATTGTTTAGAATAAATTATTAATACAGATTAAATGCCAGTACGGCCATACATAAATTAAATATTTACAAAATAATAGCTAATTAAAAATAAAGAGAGAGAAAGAAAAAAAACTTACGTACTTACGTATAAAACAAAATTGTACTTTAAAAAAAATTAACTTTTTGTTTATGAGTTTCATTACATTCCTAGAAAAAATAGGTCAGTTTCGACTGTAAACTTATTTTCACTGACCATTTTTTAATATTAAGGATCAGTTTTGAAAAAAAAAACGATTGCACCACAAATTCATTGAGTGCTTCAGCATGACAATCGATACTTCCGTAAATTTCCATAAAAAGAGATTAGGACTCCAACCGACTTAATTAATAAACTGTATATTAATTAATTAATTGTTAATGAACTTATTGAACCTTTATAAAGGAAAGAAAAAAGCGGTAGTATCACTGAGTTACCAAATTCACGAAATCACTTCTTTTTTTTTTAATTGATCTAATTACAGGTAGTTCCTCTGTAAAGGATGGGTAAAAATAAAATGTTTTCGTGTAGTGCCTAAAAATTTAAAAAATTGCATGAAAAAATTTAACTTAAGTTTGAAATGATATTGATTATTTTTAGCAGAATTTTATAATGTGGTTATCCTTTCATTTATTTTTAACAGTTTCACTAGAAATAACTCATTATATCTGAGGAGCTGTTAATTTAAATTGTTTCCTTGGATTTAGAAACTAGTTCTATATTTGATGTAGTTTTTTAAAAATGTTTTTTACCTTGAATACTGCTATGGACTAATTAACAATTCTAATCAATACATTTTTTACTGGATTCTGTGTGATTTTATTTTTAATATAAAACTATCTGTACTTTCATATTATTGTCTCATTCACTTTTTTTTTCTGTTATTTATATACTTTCATTTAAATTAAATTTTGATTTTCATCTGCCGGTTTGAAGCCAGAAAAAAAAAAAAAATGAAAGCATAAGCGAACGCATAACTGGTTTATCAACAAGTCGATTGTTGGTGCAGTTTTTCTAATCGATAATTTCCAAGTGGTTGTCGATAAGTACTGAATAATCTTAGCATGAAATTATGTAATTAATTCTGAAATTATTTTAAATCAGGTCTAATACCTCCTTTCTAAACGTATTATTAGGAGTTTTGAAATAAACGACTCGTTCATTATTTTGTATAAGACTCCTAAGTATCGATTAGTAAAGATACTAAAATGAGTAAAGAAAAAAAAAATTGAGTTATGCTCCATGCCGACTTCGCGCCAACGTACTCCGTACTCCCCGTAATTTGCATATCATACACGCTATTAAAATGTTGATTTATCGCAGTACACGTTATTAATGCCTCAGTTATTCATTTTCATGTTATTTATTTTTTGTTGAAACTCACCGGGCCAATAGGATTTAGTTGAGGTCGTCACTGTGACGCTGGTCAGTTGGTTGTCTGCTTCATCGGTGCTAGGTACTTACATTACTCTTGCATATATTTTATGTATGCATATTTTATATTTTAATAGATTTATTAATACATTTAACTCATAGTTTATAATATGTATTGCGTATACATACTCGTTTGCGAATATGTTTTTAGCTCACAGGAAACCATTTTTTATAAAAATATTACGTCACTACTTGACTGGAGGGTTTAACTCCCCGTAATTAAATTTCTGACCTATTTTATTCTTAATGTAATACATTTATTGTAATTAATATAATATTAATTAATTATTTACATTTCCAGGTCAAACTCATTTGAATGGGTGGAAAACTAAGTTCTTCTTTTGAATTCTTCAATAGCAAGGTAAATGTTACGTAAGAGATTGATCCTATTGTATATAGATATTGTATATAGTGACAGTTTGGATATTAAATAAATATTAAAGTAAATTATTTTTTTAATAGCAACTTGTTTATTATTATTATTATTTTAGTTCGGTTATGTAATTATTAGTATACTAATATTATTTAGCTGATTTTTTAAATTATCTGGTAAGGTAAAGCTCTGATGTGTTACGTAACATCGGTAATAAGTTTGCTGCCCCCAATCTCGTCGTTATTTAATAATAACTATTTCTTAAATTGTCATTTCTTTATTTATATGACTGTGTGTTATTATTTATTCCTATATTAATTTATTTTAAAAATAAATATGGAATGTCTTAAATATTAGGGATTTAGATGTCAAGGTTTTCCGGCCGGTATTTTTATTGCTACCATAATTCAAACTTGAAATATTTAACCGATAATATTTATCTCCTTTTTTTTTTAATCAGTTTAGGGAGTATTGGGTTATTTTTTTATAAAATAAAATTAATTTACGAAAAACCCAGACACGAGTTAAAAATTAAATGGCAAACACATTTTTTTTTCTTTTATGTATATATACAAAAGAAATGTATTAACCATAGTTCGATAATGTATACATATTATGAAAGATGATACCTTAATCTTCTAATTTATTTACATTTTTTTGTAAATAAGTTATGATATCAGATTGTTATGAAAAAATAAATATTAGTATCAACATATTCAAATTAACAAATCGCTAACGATGAACAGATTTTTTAGATCAAGTACTCAGTTATAAAACTCTATTAAAAAATAGTTACAGGTTCTCGATTTATTTAACTATCATTAAACATCGAATAAAAAAAAAAAAATTATTAGTACGACACTGTTATGAATGAAATAATTGATTGTCATTCATTATACTAATACTATATTATCAATATTATTGAGTCAATATCGGACTTGGTGTATTAAAATAATTATATTGCCATTATATATATATATATATATATATATATATATATATATATATATATATATATATATATATAAAATGCTTGCACTGATTGTGTTAGGCTAGTCTTATTACGTAATTTGTAAGTTACCTCTATACAATTTAATCATTGTTGTAAATTAAACAGTCCTATAAAATCAAATGATAACATAATTTAATTTTTTGTAATCAATAAATTATAATTAGCCTGACTCATAAATTTATTATTTATTAATTTAAACAAGTAAACCAACATTGCGTGTTACGACTATTTGTGTTACGTAACGAACGTACCGTTTGTAATTTAAGATTGAATAAAAGGGTATGTTTTCTATTTTAAAATAATAAAAAAATAATTGTATATAAGAATGGTTGTGTTTTTAAGTTACTTATCTTTAAGTTATTTTATTTATTATTGTATATAGTTTTTTTTATCATTATTTAGTTATTATTTTACTATTATTAATTTTACGTTTTCTGTATTTGTGGCATATATCGCTATAATAATTGTCCGTATGACAGATTATTTTATTTCTGAATAAATAAATAAACTAAAAAAATAATTCAGGAAAATTAATTTAAAAATACATACGGTTCAAATAATTTATTTATCTGTCAATGGTAGTTACAAAACAAAAATTTGAAATAAAAAAAATTTAAGAACCTGTCCACCCAGATAAGCCAAGACTGCATTTCCTGAAGTCCTTTCCCTTTAAAACTAGGCCTCTTGCGAATAAGGAATAAGGTAAATAACCGAATATTGAAAAGATTATTTTAATTAAAGAAATAAAGATGGGCATATTTTATTGACGACTTAAACTGGAAGGGTACTTTTAACTTTTCATGTTGTTATTTTTTATTTAATATTGTTTGAAAATTTGGATTTGTGTATGGTTATTTTCTTAAATATTCATTCATATTTACAAAATAAATCTTATAACTGACTATTTTGGCAAAATTCGTGGCTATCCTTGATGTTAACTGTATAGGGCTTTTTTTTATCTTTCTCTTAGGTATTCAATTTTATTTTGTATCCTGTTTCAATTTTCGTGTTGTTATTTTATTTTTTATTCAATATATATTCATTGATGAACGGTTATTTATTATATTTTATATTTAAAAAACAAAACAAAGAGATTTCTTACATTTTTGTATTTCGCGGCGGTCGCCGCGCGCCCTTATATAACAGCGACATTACATAATAGGCCCAAGAATCCCTTAACCTCACTGGGTCTCGAGTTGCCGGCAAGGAAGGATGGTAAGTCCTCACTTTAATCTTTTATATATATATATATATATATATATATATATATATATATATATATATATATATATATATATATATATATTAAATAAGTATAATAAAATCTTTTTATTCTATAAATAAATAAATAAATGAACTGATTTTAATAAAATAAAATTTAAAAAATATTAAAAATAATATTGGGAAAACTTTATTTATATTTTGTAAACAAAAATTACATAACTCAATCCTATCAATTCTGAATATTTTTTAAAAAAATGTCTTGATAAATTACAAATTTTATCTCTCAGTTACTTAATAAATGCTGTTGTTCGTTTAAAAATACTCGGTCACAAAATTGTTTTAATAAAACATCACAAATAGAAACATAGCAAATAGTTCGATTCGTTTGTTTATTTACTGCAGACATATTTGATTTTTTTTTTCAAAAGAGCGGGAAATCAGTGTGTGGTTACGTAACGACGATTTTTGGTTTTAAGAGTTTACTCGTATTCGTATGAGGGATAAGAATTATCCGTATTTTTATAATATTTATATTTTATACAATCAATTAAATATTTACTTTTATTGTAATAATAACGATATAATTAGGTTGATCATAAATATGCATATACATAAATCCATAACAATTTTATTAAATAGGTTTGAAAAATAATTTTATAATTAAAAGTATTATTATTTTATGACACGAACTATGATTGATCTACATATACTGCTTAATTTTTTAAAAAAAATAAGATAAATAAAAACAATAATGTAAAAAAAACTTGCTTAAAAAAATTAACATTCTCTTCAGTTTCTAATTTTTTTTTTTTTTCAGTCTCTTCTTTCTTTTAAATAATAGTTATTTTTACTTATAATTATTTGATTGTAGGCATAATGCATTTTATGGGAACATATATTTTTAACCGTCAGAAATTTGAATTTGAGGAAAACGGTGGTCTTAGTTTATATTTTTTTCATTCTTTGTAGAGACATCCCTCTAATCGTTTTTATATTGTTACACATAAGAAGCACAGTATGGGATAATATAGTTTATTAGAAAAAAAAATATATCTGTTTTATATAACATAGCTGTGCGAATTATTTATGTACAAATAGAGAGATTTACATATTCTACTAATTTTTGTCGAAATTTAACGAAAAGATGTTAAATGTACGATTAAAATTTTTTCCCATAAAATATCTTTTATGTTAGTTAACAATTAATAGCATTTATTGTTAAGCCCAAATGACATTTTGGAAGTCAATATTACATTAATTGATTTGGTTGCCTATCTTTGCCATCATTTTATATTTACTGGAAGACGTGGAATGTTCGTAATTGATTACGTAACGCTTCCATTCTTTGACGTCCTGAGGTGTATTCTAGAGTCATGAGAAAAAAAAGTACATTCCTTCAGTTTAAAAAAATAATCGGTAACTTCTAAATTAGATATTTACAAAACAACTGATTTACTGAGGACGGGCAACTTTTCTAGTTCGTTCTAAATCTGTAACCATTACCTACCTCAAGTCTATGAGGGGAAGCAGCTCTCCTCGTATATTCGGTTGTCGTAAAATCTAAAATCTTTCACCAACATCTTCAAAGTAAAATAAAGAAAAAAAAAAACAGCTGTTTCCGTCTTATCCCGTTTATTTCAGCCATGGCAGAGAAGTACTAGTGTTTCGAAAAGTAGGCATTTAATAAATAGTTCTCATCTGAGCTCCTCCCCATAGAGGTGGGGAGGGTGAAAATAGTAGGATTTTATAATTAATGTTTTATAAATTTATTTTAATTATAAAATATCTGCCATCATGATACATTTTCAAACATATACGAGATGTAAGATGGGATGTGACCTGACCTAATTTTGTTTTAATAATATTTTAATTTATCTTACACAACGTATTAGTTTTTATTCACTTCTTTGGATTTATTTATTAGCAGGTAGCATATAACTTTGTTTCATTATCGTTTTGTATAAATTTTTTTTTTAAATTCGCTCGTTATCTTATCATTTCTCAGCCCTGATGATGGCCTGAAATTTAGGCCGAAACGTCGGCTCAAAATTAAATATTTTTTTAAATCTTTATTTGTGTTTCTCCGACCTCTCTCATAGACATTACAGCTTAACCGATGTAAAATAATAAAACCGGCCATAGACATTCGTATGGAATTCTCCTCCTGTTGTTTATGGGACATTTTATCCATAAAAATAATAAATTTTCCAAAAGAAGTATTTAAGAATTCAGAATTTCCCACTTGTGACGTAGTGCATCGAGTGTATATGGAGAAAGGATAAAATTCTAATCTTATCTGCAAATTAGCAATTTTTATTTGACAAGATAAAAAATTACTGTATTTGTTTCTAAAATTAATGACACTCATAATTTAACTTTTTTTTTTTCTTATCGTTTGCCTTGATCGTCTTGAGCTCATTCGACCATAAAACGTCTTGCTCAGTAAATTTTCACCTTCTGTCCTGGCTTTGTTTCTAATGTCCTGTAGTCCGGAACCAAGTCAGTAATTGCACAGCTGTCATGTCGTGTAATTGACATAAGCTTATAATCTAAATATTTTAAATGATCTTTTTAAATAGTTTTTTTTATGAAAGTGAAAAAATTACTACGATGGATTGAATTCATCTATCCATATCACAAAACGACATAAATTACCAACGCTAAAAAAAAATATATAAATCTTTGTGAAACAATCATCAAAATATTTACTAACTGTTTATCAATTTTCTTGGAGGTTCCCTGTAAAATATTG